CTACTTCAGAAGTCTGTGTGTATTACATAAATTCAGCATGCTCAGTAAGTCTGTTCTGGTTTGCAACAATGTATCATCATTTTAAAATGAGCTTTAAAAAATCTGAGCTTGTTATTAGTTTAGCATGCAAAATAATTTATGTTGTATCCTATGCAATGTAGATATGGTCATGGCAATACAATGATATTTGCTGCTGTGTGCCTACATAGTTTTCAAAACTTAAATTCAATGCTTAGCTAAATTGCTAAGCAGACTGGTAAATGTCCAATTTTAGCAGCCTAACATATGTTTATAATTTTTGTTTTAACATATGCTATGTTGGTTGAACTCCCCTCCCCACACATACGGTAGATAAAAGCTGTCACATCACAAAATGGTGGCAGCCCAACTTTTCTAACATTTTCCATGGCACTTCAGAGTCTTGCATTAATTAGCTATTCTTGGATAGGAGACAGACTCTCATCTTTGCAGAATTTTGGTTTCAAACCTGTCATGTACTTGGGTTTATGTATGCAGCAGCCCATCTGTGTTTCTGCAGCCATAAGCTGTAAAAAGCACAGGGCAGAGAGAAGAGTGGTCAGCGGGAGCAAGGGAGCCCTTGGCTCACAGATACAAATATCRAGCAAATGGCCCCTAAAGATGTCCCATTTGGGCCCTGGTTTGCTCAAACATAAGTCTTCTCTCTCTTCCGCTTTTACATGAGAGGTGAGTGACTAAAACGACGTTGATGCACAGCCCYGTTCCTTCTCATTGTGAGCTGCTAAACTAGCCCTCTTTTCTCCTCCTTTTCAAAGCAGGTGTAAGGAGGAATTTCACTGAGTCTACAATTCTTTCCWAAACCTCAGCTGGGTAGTGGGGAACTGTGACAAATACCACTGCAGCTGTGATAATGCTGTCTTAATCCTTGCTGCACGGTGACATGGAAACCTGGATTTAGACTTGAAAGGACATTCCTTAACAGTACGGCAACAAGATCCCTTATCAAATCAAATTGCCTTTTGCGTGTGCTCCAAAACCACAGTATTTTTGTCTGATGTRTTCTGTCTGCCGTTTCCCTGTTGTCAGGCTCCTGACTATGGTGTACTTTGGCATGTGTAATGTCTGCTGGGCTGCTGCATGGGGAATGGTTGGTTTTCTGAGGGGGAGGAAGGAGCTTTGCTCAGCGATTGAAACTGCTGCAGAAGTGTTGCAGGGTCTGTGGTACAGGACTGACATTGGCAAGTGTGGTCATGTTGGCGCCTGTTAGTGCACAGCATGGRCAGGATTGTTCTTATGCCTTCATCCCTGGGTGGCATGGATGCCACCTCCTGTCCTCTGGTCTGCCCTGAAGCTGCTCAAAAGCTTATGCCCAGGTGCAAACAGTTCCAAGCACAGTGGCACAATGTAATGTGTGATATCATTCCTATCCAAGAGCAGAGTTGTATTAGACATTTCAGTATGGAGATTGAGGTACAGGAACCTGAGCTTTGGGGGAGCTCCTGGGGTACCCTGGAATGTGCCAGGGTGATGTCTGGCTAAGGACCTGTGTAATAGGAGATGCTGGGCCTGATACTTGCATGTCCACCTGCAGAGCTTTGAGCAACCCCACAGAGAGCTGCCAGCAGCACAGCCTGCTTCCAAAGCCCTGCGTCTGCATCCAAAGCCCTGTGTCGGCTCCCAGCTGCGAGCCAGAGCCGCTGTCAAGCCCAGAGCACAGGCCCTGCTGGTGGCAATGGTGGAGGGCTTTGCCATCTTTGGATTGTAGATGCCAGTGGTGGTTGTTCACTGTCTATTTCCCATTTATGTATTTGTTTTCAGCTACAGGACCTACAGCTGCTGTTTGGCTCKCTGTGCTTGTTAGCTGGCTGGCAGGCCTTGCTGTGGGATTCAGGTTTTGCCAGTGTGCACAAAAAACAGTTTTGTTTCCCTGCCAAATGAAAAGCATGGTGGAGATAAAGGAAGAAAATGATAAATTTAAACTGCTTTTCCAGACGTTTGGATAAACGTAGGCAAAAATAAATAGACGTAAGTGCATAAATGTCTGTTTATTATAAGTGAACATGAGTAATTAGTGTATTTGTRACACCAGGTATTTATTGCTAGAAGAAAGGTAAAGAGATTTTTTATTTTCTGGTGTTGCTCTCTGCTTTGGTAAACATTGATCTGAAGATTTTGTATACAGTCTACAGTGTAAACATATTTTACTTTATTTCTTCTCTGTGGTTTCTCTGCCCAAATGTAACTTATCACCAGTTGAGCTGAACTAAGTCCAATACCATTTTTCTGTAATGACTCTGGAAGAGGAATACATGCGATGGGAGAGGGAAGCAGCTGAGTGTTGGTGAAGGACTTCACTGTTTCTGAGGCTCTGTGTGATACCATGCTAGTGGCTCATTTAGTCTTGTTTGCTTTTTTTCCAGTATTTGGACATTGGATAACTCATCAACTTTTCTTACTGCTCACATTACTTGCTGCTCAGATTTTGCTTTGGGTTAGAATAGTKATGCAGGTAATAATGCCATTCAACTACTTAAGGCACAAGCATACTGTTAGGATGAAAACTCTGATACAAGTTCATCTGTAGGTTTTTCTCCTGTGCAAGTTTGTGAGGAATATATATCACTTGCTCAGAAAAAATAGTGTTTCTGAACTAGCAGAAACTGATAGTAGGGTTTCTCAGTACAAATACTGAAACATCATCAGATAACCTTTGAAGATATATACACTAGAGTGTCCCTTAACAATAAGGAGTCTTAAACAAATAAACAAACAGACAAGAGAGCCCCTCCAACACTTATGGTTCACATTCTAGTTTCTTTTTCCATACATTTGTAATCATCAGAACTGTTTATGTGAAAGTTAAACTTCTCATATGGTTGTCTGATTCTCAGGGGAATGATATTTAAGAAAGCAGCAAACATCACGAGAATCATGATAAAGTTACAAGAGTTTTTTTGTACATTACGGTTATGTATGTTTTGAATTGAATTTTTTTGAAAAATAAATGTATGGGCAGATGGTGATATTTACTTAAGGGAAGCTGAATTCATTATCTGACTAGGACTGGGTATTTCAAGCAGCTGTTTGAAAATGAGAACTCTCTTTCCATGAAGGAGAACGTATGTTTCAGGAAAATGGAGTCTCTTTTTAAAATGTAGGACTATCCCTTGCCTCTGTCGGAGTGATTTCTGCTCTGTGTGTGTGAAGAACATTTTGAGTAATGATCAAGAACTGATTTGGTGAAATAGTTTTGTGAACTCTTAACTGCCCTCCTGCCAAAGGCAGTCCTGCTTCTAAGTTTCAAAACTAGATAAATTTTGTAGCTGTTCTTTATTTGTAAAGATATTCTGCCAGAAAAAAAAAAAAAAAGAATAAACCATATATTTAGTAATCTTAGCTTCCCTGCCAGGTTTAATTTCTGTCTACCCAACTTGCTTTTATTTTGATTGATTAAGCTAGAATTACTTGAGGAATAGACCTATGGAAAACTTCTAAGTATAAGCCAGAAGAAAGAAAACGAAATGTGACCATACTCATTATCTTTTAAGGATTTGGTATTTTTGGGACTCTCTATTCTAGTATGTCTGTTCTATTTGCATAAGTGTTTTGAAGTGTGAGARTATGAAAAATAGTCTTACCTTGTTTATTTTTTACTTACACTTGTTTTCCATATGTTTCTGTGTTGTAATCCAAAAGACTGAAAGGTATCCCTTGAAGACTGTGGTGTATTTATTATTGCTTATGTCCTTTCTTCCCYCAGTTCTTTAAGATGACTTTCACAGAAAATTCTTTCACTCAGAAAATCTGTAGCCCTGTAATTCTTGGTTCATACAGAAATACAAGGCTAGTTTGGTTGTAGCAGATGTCTTTCCCCATTCACTTAACTTCTAATGCCTTTGTTTTCCCATTCCATAATAAGAAAATTGTAATGCTTAATTATTTTACTGGAACCTCTGCTAATATTTCTGAAGCCCGACTATAGATTTTCAAGTAATTTTTCATCTCAGAATGGGCTTATGCATATGGAGTGACCGAAAGGTTCATCACTCTCAAAACTCTTTGGTTTTGGAGTTATCTTTGAACTCTACAGAGAATGCAGCTGTGTACACTATTGGCTGCAACTAAAGCACAAAGCCTGTCTGTAAACAGGGAGGATGTGTAAAGATGGCCTTTTGATGGGAAATGAGTTCTTCAGTTCAGACAACTTGARGAATCTCATCACTTTGCCTTCCTGGTATCTGACAAGCCTGTTTCCCCTGCACAGCAGCGGGATCTGTGAAAAYAGTCATCCTGGGAACATATGGAAAAGGGGTTTTGTGCTCACTGCAAAATCCTAACATTGGTTCTGACTTTGTGGAGTCTTTATTGTGATTATTGTGCAATACTCATATGTGAATTTAATATGCTGTTTATATATAACTATAGGACTTGTGGTTTGGCCATCTGTCTTTTCTCAGTGTTTCAGTAGTTTGAGGTTAAAMTGGTTTTGTCTGGCGTTAAATAAGAGTTAGTGATTATTGCATAGTGCGTGCCACATGCATCAGGTAAATGTGGAACATGTTCTGCAGCTTCTGCTAACGAAGCAAGATGATATAGCAATAAGTTAATTGCTTATTATAAACAATCTTATTGCTGAAGGGCACTGTTAAGTTTCTGAGCTTCTCATAAGTCATATTTGGTTATTGCCTCATGTTTTAAGTGGATGAAAAATACTGTTTCAAAGAAGGCCTGATGTTTATTCATCTTTAAAGAGAATCATCAGGAATGAGGTTCAGGCTAGGTCTAGAGTCATTAATACTGGTACACTGATGCAGAAGCCTGATAATTGAATAAAATATCCTAGCTGAAATTTGTCCACCAGGGTATTTTCCCTCCTCTGAAGTCAAAACAGTGGTTTCTAATGGGAACTTGATCATACTAATCATGTAGACATTTGGATTTATGTATCCCTAAGATWCTACCAATTCCTGCAGCAAGGTTGTTCCTAATTCGAATAATTTTAATTCCTTTTCTTTCTCTAGATCACAAAAAAATTTACAATGGCAATGCTCTGGAAATTCATGAGAGTAGCTAAGTATTCTAAAGCAGCTTTATCACYGAAAGTAAAGGTAAGAGGATTTCCCACCCATTCAAGACATTCTTCATCCAAGTCTGTACCTTCAGATTTTGCTTCCAGTGCACCCTGCGCAAGTACTGTAGAACTGCTTGGTAAATCTTATCCTCAGGATGACTACAGCAATGTCACAGAGAAGATTCTTTCCAAGGTGGGGAAAAACTTGCACAACAGAAAACATCACCCTTTGTGGCTAATCAAGGAGCAGGTGAAGGASCACTTCTACAAACATTATCTAGGACGCCATGGGACTCCGCTCTTTTCTGTGTATGATGGTCTTTCTCCGGTGGTTACGGTCCAGCAGAACTTTGATAGTTTACTTATTCCACAAAACCATCCCAGCAGAAGGAAGGAGGATAACTACTACTTGAATCGTGACCACATGCTAAGAGCACATACRTCAGCTCATCAGTGGGACTTGATACACTCTGGCCTAGATGCCTTTCTGGCAGTGGGAGATGTCTACCGCCGAGACACCATTGATAACACCCACTACCCAGTCTTCCATCAGATGGAGGGAGTGCGGCTCTTCTCCTGTCACGAGGTATGAATTCGCTAGTTGGGGTGAGAGATATTTTGGGTAAGTTGCTTGCTCTTGTTTTTGCTGTAAGCAGAGTTCGTGCACGTAASCATGTTACAGCAGCAGTGTTACGCTGAATGTTGATAAAGATCAAGTGATTTATCATATAGTAATATTTTTAATTTGCCAAAAATGTAGATGGAAAGCATTGGATTTGAAAACAACTATAAAATTCCCTAGGAAAATGTGACAACGTGGAAAGACAATATTATTGAAAGCAAGGAAAATGAGACACAATCTGAAAGGAAACAACTCGTTAAGTTAATGATCTGCACAATTCAATTTTACTTTTGTCACAACTCTCTTCTGGTGAGATCACATTGCCAAAAACTATATCAAATTAATTCTTGAAGGACTCATTGGATGTGAGTTGTTTCAGCTACATCCAAAGTACAGTTCTTACTGTCATCTTTTCTTTTTCTCTTAATAGTACCAACCTTCTGTAAATGAATGACATATTCTAGGGAATTGTTCCATTCTTCATCTCATCCTAAAACTGCATTGAAGGGTTCATCTGTTGCAGCCAATAGTTGTGTGTGTGTGGTGCATACACAGTAAACCCATCAGAGTCCAGAGGCATCAGCCCAAGAGCTCTAGGTTGATGTCCAAAACTCTTAAGTTTATATGTTTTGTTGGCACAGCTTGCATGTTCTGCAAATGCCTGGGTGTCATTAAGTACTCTGCTGCATCATTGATCAGTGGTAAATATAAGCCAGTTTGTTTCCAAATAGTAATTGATTTGTATAATTTGTGTACGCTTGTAGCAATACTGCCAAATTCACAGTTCTATAGYTAAAACGAGCTTATTCTAATAATACTGAGATGTAGACTGTTCTTAATGTGCTTGCCAACGGGTGACAGGAGCTTGGCAGGAAAGCCTGATGCTTTTGGATGCCTGAGGGAAAACGAAGGTAATCATAGAGCGCTACTTTTCTCCGTGATGGAAAGGGCTCGTGCTGCCTGCATTGGTGTTTCACACCCCATGCAGCAGCTGCTTCTTCTACCACGAACACATACCTGCTTGTGCAAGTGTCCTGTGAGCTGTGTGGTGCTGAGYCCAGCCTGCAGTTGCTTCTTTGGTAACCACAAAATGGAAATATTGCAGWCTTAGCCAGCCTTGTGTGTSTTCTGCTCTTTGSTATACAATAYTCTATTAAGAAAATACCATTTCTTYATTGTTTTTCTTCATGACAACTTTTGTTTTACTTAAACAAGAGTTCAGTCATTCAGATGGAAATATTTAATCTGCCACAAAATTATAACATCCACATTCTTGCAGGATGACATTTCTGAAGCCTCAGGTGTGATTGATCTAATCATTGAAATACCTGTYAATGAATATACCCCTTAAGAAATTTTGGTCCTAATGGTACACTACTTCTTTCTACTCTACAAATTCAATTATCGGAATAATAGGATTTGAATAACTGGGAACAGTTACAGAAATGTTTTTACTGACATGTTTTATCTAGAAATATACAACATTTAACTATCTAATTTATTGCATTGGAGATGGTTTCTYGTTCTCTTCGTTTTCCCCAAGAAAATGATTGAGATGTTATTGGAGAGCTTTTTATACTGATGAAGAAAGAAGTGGTGTGGTGTACAGTGTGTAAAATGTTGTTTATTGGACAATGTGCAAGAATTATAAACCTAAGCATGATCTGAAGCAACCTTTTTTGTATTAGTTCGTGTTTCAATATATAGCCCTTTTTACAGTCATAATCACAAGAGCCTTGTGGAAAAAACTTAATGTGTAATTCTGAATTTTCACTGGGGACTGTTTCTGTGTTTTATATTCTGGTTGCCTGTTCAAAATAATCCACATTTAAATAATTCCAGAAGGAACTGTCTGAGCAGAACAAAGACTAAATAGAGGTAATACTACRAGAGAGAAATACTCTGAAATTAATTTATTTATACTCAGGTTTAAGCTGTAGCCCACTGAGCAGAAACATGTGAATGTCAGGGCCTGTTACCCTTGTCTCAGACTTTTCATTCATAACCATGCTAAAATCTCTGGTGTGAGGAAATTTGCACAGTTCCAAGGATAAGAATCTTTGGAACCAAGGGAAAAACTGTTAGCTCTTAGCTACAAGCCCTGGGTACATTTCATGTTATGGCCARTATAGGAATTTCATATGCTGTTGTCAGTTTGCTTTCTAATTTGTTATTTTGATTTATGCATTTATCATTTGCAGTATTCTCAACTTAAGTGACCACAGACCTAAAGGGATGTGAGGAGAAAGAAAAAAACCTAGAGTGAATTTATAGGAACTTGAATTTAGAGGAATTTGTTGCTTCTTCTCAGTTTAGAAGATSTGGGGGAGAAGTCAGGTCATCGCTGAAATTTTAGGCAGGATACAAAAGATGTAGGAGATGTAGAAAAGKGCATCTCCTTCATAAATACCAAATTTGTAGTCATGACTAGGTTAGGACTCCTGCCCTGTGATGGAAACCTTCAGCATAATTCTTTATATCAAAGTTAAAATCAGTAAATTGAAGTAAGATCTGGAAAAACAAAGTTTGGCAATTTTACAGTGTTTATTCTGAGATATTTGTGAGCTATYTGCTTTTTGGTTATATATTTTTTCATGATGGTTGGTTGATTACTTTTTAAAGAGAGAAGTAATCTATAATTCAAGGATGGGCAGGTAACTGATGCATTTCTGCAGCTTTGTATGAKTGTRAATAGTAAAGTGCTGAAGAAATTAGTGTCTTCCAAATTAAATCATTGCTAAAAGCTAGACTAATTCTTGCTTAAATTTCTTATCTTTTAAAAAATGTCCTTGGTCTGCTATCAAAGAACATCTGAAAATACATTTAGACATGTTTTCAATATATTAAAAAGTATTTTAGATGATTATTACCTGAATGTAATATATAGAACAGTTAGAAACTGACTAATATAAATAGTTAAAACCAGAACCAAAAAGAGCTTCCCAAATGTACTTTAAAATTCTGAACATAAAATGAATTGTTCTTAAACAGTATCCCCAAATAATATTCTTTTTTATTCACTTCCTCCAACATTCCTGTTTTTCTTCTAGTTGATGTTTGGATTTTTTTTTTTACTTATATGGTGTATGGCTTTTTTTTTTCTTTTTGTTAGTGCTTTGGATTGGCAATTTTGACTGTTTAAGTCAGATTTTAACTGGCCAATTTTCCTAGGTGGCTTATAAAATAAATTATTTCCTTGCTATGCCATTGTCTTTGGTATAGTTCCATGGTTCATGGAAAAGAGAAAAAAATCTCAACTAAATTGCACTTYGTGCATGTCAGCCAGAAGAGGGAGCCAATATAAACCCAATGGCRGTCAATGAACAGCTTTCAGTTGATAATAAAAAGTGTTTACACATTGGAAGGAGATTTCATACTCCGTTTTGTAGTCTGTACTGAATTATACATAAATTTTAAGGGGAACAGATGCTAAAACGTAGGAATTGCTCCTCTAATTTAGTAACCTTGTTCCCATAGAGGTCCATATAAGATTGTTTAGATGAAAAAAATGATGCTCTCATCAGACTTGTTTGTGCTAGAAGTAGAGAGATACATCTGTATTCTCCATCGTATTGCTTATGATGGATATGGAATCTTTTTGGTTAGGATGCAATGGAAATTATGGTAAATATTCCCATTACAAATGGAGGACTGCTTCTCCAAAGGACTACATATATATGAAAAAAAAAAAGGTCAATATTGTAGCTTCTGTAGTTTATATCCTGAAATGTAAAGATTCTTGTTTTAGATAACAGAAGACTTAAATTTTTGTTTTTCATCTAAATACATACTCCTTTCCTCATCTTCCCATACTTGTGTACCTTGGCAATATTCCTAGTGTATTGTTAAAAAGATAAAATAATTGCTTTTATCCTTTTCCTTTTGGTTTGGGGTGATGTGAACTCTGCAGGTTTTGGGGTTTTTTTGTTTTGTTTTTTTTTTTTTTAAAATCAAGTGCCATCCTGGGTTTCCAACTTGCAAAACTTGTGACTTTAGGTTTGACTTCTCCAAAATCCTGTTTGTCACTACAGCTTTGGGCACTGTGCTTCTGCTCTGCCATTGTATCAATGGAAAGCTCCTTCCTATCTTCAGTCCCATTTTTTAAATCCTCCTATGTAAATGAATTTAAATCAGTTAAATTCATTTAACTCCAGGGATCAGCTCCTATTTTATGAAGTGATTTGGAGCTTTCACAGTATGTCTGAGAGTGCTTGTGWGTGTGAGTGAGAGTCATAATAGCAATGTTTAGCTGGGCACCAAGGAGCAAATATTTTAAAATGCTTAAATTGCTAAGGAAGGSTACTCTTCATAGCTCTCTACAACTTATGGATAGGGTTATGAGCAAAGCATCAGTCCCAAGGAGCCTGAGACAGCTCTTCTCACAGGGAGCAGTGAGGGCTGTACAGGAGCAGAGGCACCTGGATTAAATCCGCCTTGGTAAGGAAAGGAGCAGCAGCATTGCTTTGCTAGAATATTCAGAGGTGAATTTATTCCTGAAGCTGCAATTTAGCTGAGTGGTAGCAATAAAGGGCCTGGTTGGTTCAGATGGAACTGACTTCACTTTTTCTGGTATTTATCCAAGTTAGGAATATTGTATTATTCAGTATTTTCCAAGTTGTGGTGTATAAGTCATGCCATAATAAATAGATCTTCACTGATACGAGGTTCCAAATTGTATTCTTTGTTATTTTTTGTTGAAAATTTGACAGTGAAGGGCATCAGAAGGTCTGTTAGATTTTCATAGTGATCCATTGTCTAGAAAGTTTGAAAACTGATGGTGCATCTTTTGCTCAAAGACTACGTATTTTTTTCAAACTTTGTCTTACTCTTAYCCAGCAAAAAAAAMCCAAAAAAACCAGCAATGCTTTTCAGAATAAAGAAGTTAAATCTRTTCAATGCAATATTTAAATTGTGCAGGAAAAGAAAAAAAGCAAAATGTCTACAAGTGTACTTGGGAGCTCTAAGGTACTTAAAAGCAAAAAAAAAAAATCCTATTGCCTCCGAAACAGAAGTCTATCATATATGTCTCATTATATCAGATGTCTGTGTAGCAGTGTTACTTTTTCCTTCTGGTTAGAAAACATCTTTATTGTTTTCCCTTTTCTTACAGAAGCACTTTGATTAGGTTAAAAAATCCAAAAAAAMCAGCCCTCCACCCCAACAAAACAACAGAGATTACTTTTCTCTTTGCTGTAAWTGGAGGTCTGGAAATGGAAGGATGTAGAAATTAAGGTGACCACCTGCAAGCTTGTGGGTTGAAGTAATTTTTGCCATTTTTTGCCCCGCCCCGAATTCTGATTGAATTAGTAAAGAGCCTTCTGTCCTGTGGATCATGGACTGTGTATCTCTGGTACCTGAAACTGGCTGGATCTGGGTGTTTGGTTACACCTTAGAGGCTGACTGAGACTGACATTGGTTTTCTTTTTGAGCCATCTCTTGGTGGCATCATTCCTGATCCATTGGTTGAGTCTCGAGTTCCACAGCACATTTAAAATGTTGTGGAAAGGGTTTGTTATTTGTGAGTGAGTAAGAATGCAGCTGTTGGTTCATTTTTAGAGATTTCTACTAGGGCCAGTGAGACAAAAATGTATTTGGTGTTGCAGGGTTGGGTGTTGCCACATGCAGATCCTCATGTAGAGATAATCTTAAATGCTAGTTTGCCTGGGAGTGTAAGTACATGAGCATGGTTTATTCATTATCTTAATCACTGGTGTATGCCTGAGTGGCAGGAGGAATAGACAACTGCATTGTGGAAAGACAGGATGTAGTTACAGATCTCTCTGATGTCAAACCTACTACAAATGCCATCCTGCGAAGAGATACTTAATTTTGGACTGAACACTAAACATGGATAATGAAGGGATGTGAGACTAAAATGTCTGTCAAGTGATTAAAGAAAGATTGAGGTCTTTGTTTAAATCTCACATGTGACTTCTGCCCTTCATGCAAGGCTGAGAAATACTGGAATGTGCTTTTGAAGGACCATAGGTCCATTTGTTCTTGTCTAGTTAAAACCCCATGTCCTCTTGCCATTACATGCCATCAAATTTTAATATTTTTTCATTATGAGCTCAGCTGTGAGTAAACTTCATGCCACATGGTTAGGTCACTTTCTGCYTTCCCCTTCATAATGCAGCTGATAAATCCTGGTAAGTGTTAATTTTTTTGACTTCTGCATGGTGATATAATATTCAATGTTTGCACACCTTCACTCAAAGAAAAATCTTCTTGTCCTGAGACAGACATGTAGGTGCTCAATTTATGGCTACAGGAAATTTATTTCCTGGTGATAGTAGTGACTGATTGTATTCAATACAATAAGATAGTGCATTCTGTTTTAGTCTTCACTGAAGGAATGAATGTACATGAAAATGTTATCTTGGTTGTGYCAGTGTTTTATGCAAGACTGTTAAGCATTTTTTTTCTCCATTTGCTCAGATATATTCTTGAGAAAAACTGACATCAAAAAGGAGTGACTGTAYGCGATTCATCATTTTATTCAGACTTTTCTGTATACAGAAATGTTGAAGTGTTTCTAATCGAAGACATGTACTTAGCACAGTTCGGTCATTGTAATAGAGCTGGTTTAAAGCTGCTCGTGTTGACATAGCAATGTCAGTGAATGGAAAGTCTGGAATAAATATTAATACAACTGTAAGGCATATATTTTTTCTCAGTATAAGCCCATCCACAGCTGATGGAGCCTCTGTGGAGAGTAACAAAGTGCCTCTCAGTGCCTGACTGTAAGAGGGACTGTTGCCTTGCCTGTCTTTCAGGGACTTCCCTATGGCTCTGTTTTCAGAGCCTGTCCAAACTGGACTAAAGTCACACATGTGCTCAAAGTGGCCCAGCCCTGTTCCATGTGCCAGCTTGTCTCTTGGTGCTGCTAGCATGCTGATATTTGATTACTGAGCTGAACTTGACCATTTTCACATCCCTCAGTTTCTTCCCTTCTCCTGGGTCACRGCCCTTCCAGATCCATCTGGCAGCCTGGCTCAGTACACTGCTACATGGACACTTGTCCTGGCTTGGAGAAGGATATGGTGCCTATGAATGGATTGGCAGGATGAGGACTCAGGCAGGTTACAGGGATGGGTTCTGATCAAATGTATTTAATTGTTCTTGCACGTATTTTATTTCCCCATCTGATATAAACTACTGAAAYAGAATTTTGCTAAAGACTGTAATTGCAATATGAACATTTCAGGAATAACACAGCAGTAAGGAAAAGTATTTCTGTGTACTTGTTGATATGTATGCTGTATTTTAAAGGCTGGTGTCCAGACTGTCCTTTGCAGTGGTCTGAGGAACAAGTCATAAGCTCAAGGGAGGAATGAAAGGGAGAAGGAGGAAGAGAGTTTCATGTCCTAAAATGTTGCTGATGGGTAAAATAACAAATATACCTTCAATGTGTAAATACAGTGTATTCTTGTCCAAAGAGGGAACATCTCTGTTGCCTGAAGGGTGTTTCTAGCTTAGTGAGTGAGTCAGTCAGTCAGTAGAAAAAATAGCTACCTGTATTAGGGTAGTTCAGAGCCGGAACCTCATTTAGCCACTCTGTGTTCCTCTGGAATGGAGCCTGTGTTTCTCCACTGGCCACCCAGTGAGCCTAATTATCCTCTCTAGGCTAATGCTGGCCTCTCTGAATTCCCCCTGGCTTTCAAAACCACGTGCTGGATGACTGATCTGCCTTGCTGACAGCAATTTAGTTGTAGGGTGGGTATTACATGCTTGTTTCAGCCAGGGTCAGAATAATGCCAGTAAGAGAAGAGGGTTTAATCTTTCAGGTGTGCAGTTGAATAAAGAATCTGTTATTTAAAAGTGTAATACTTTGTTTTGTCAAGTTGCTGCCTTTTGGTAAGTAAAGGCATTTTTGTTAGTCTGAAAGAGAATAATTTTATTTGGATTTATGCTTTTACTTTTTTTTTTAGTATTTTCTGCAGCACACCAAGGAGATTAACTGGAGATGTGTTTCCTTAATCTGCCAGCAGTCTCCTTGTAGCTAGCAATAAAAAGTTAAATGCTACTGGATTTTTTTTAATTCCTTTAATCCATTGTGATGCTAGTTTGTATGCAATCTCAGCGTCTTCATGCATGCATTGTGTCTGTAGGAAATGTGCTAGGAACTTGTCTTAATTGTATCCAGCATTTGTGGACTACCAGAGATTCATTTGAACTTTTTGTTTAAAGCATTTAGTGCTCTGAAGCCATCAAACTGCAGTTAAAACAACTTCTGTGGGCATGCATGAGTTATTAAGGTTACACTCTGTGGCATCTCCTGAGTAAGAGCTAGTTATGCTGGGAGACTTAATGGGAAGAAAATCTCAGTGCATGTTTTTTCCCTCTATGTGTGGTTGATTGACTGTGGGAAGGTAGAGGAGGAGGGGTACAAAAGGCACAAGAAACACTTTAACAATTGTCTCTCCCTTCCTCTCAGACTTTACCCCAGAGATGGAGATTTTGTACATCTGTAAGGATTTCCAACAAAAATATCTTTAGAGTGTAAAACTGCCTGCTTGTCCCCCAAGATACAGAGCCTCCAACAATGTTGTTAAATGAGACTGTTTTATTGGTCTCTGTGAGAGGGTATAGATTTGCTGGTACATATCTGGCCAGGATCACTTGGCCAGAAACATATGGGGATACACAGGAAACAGAAATCTTCAGTTTACAGCAGATGTGGGGAGCAGCAGCTGAATGAAGAGCATGTCTGTCATATCCCAAAACAGCTGTCATATCCCAAAACAGGTCCTGTGCTTTGTAATGTATCTGGAAACCTCCTCCTGAGATCATGAGTTGTTAAATGCCCTATAGACAAAATTCCTGTATACAAAAAGAATGCCTTGTGTGGGGAATATGCAGGAAAATGGTAGTCCTTAAATGAATAAGCTATACCCAAGATGTACTGTAAGTAGGTTAAGTCCCATTAAACTGCCAGGATTTGTTTTCTTTCCTTTTCTTTAATTTTCTTTTTTTGTTGTTGTTTTATTTTGTTTTGTTTTCTTTCTTTTTTTTTTGTGGTTATTGCTTTGTTTTTTGGTGTTTTTTTATTTTTGTTTTGGGTTTGGCTTTTTTGTTGTTTGGTTTTGTGATTTTGTTTTTTGTTTGAGTTTCTATTTTGGTGTTTTTGATTTCTTTTACATTATTCAAGTATTAAAAATGTTGAAGTTTTGATAAGCACAATTGTGTTCTGCAGTTTTTGGGGTGTAATTTAAATACATTGTACAGAGTACATTCTTCTGTGCAGTAACTTTCAAAGGAATCAAATAAGAAAAAGAGAGTTGCTTATTTTGTAAACTATTATTTTCCTGTAGCTAATCATATTATTTGAAGATACTGTATAGAAATAAACCAGATTTAATTATTTGAGTATTTTTATTCTTAGGGTGATTTTCCCCTGCATTTGGGGAACAGAATTTGTATAAAGTCATAGTCTTTATGTTTATTTTTAACAGTGCAGACTTAGCAGGTAAGATTCCCACTTAACTCAATGAAATTTCATTCTCTATTTTTGTTTAGAAGGTCACTGATGCAAAACTGGTGTTTTTGTGGTTTTGTTCTAGTTGTTCTCCAGYATTAAAGATGGTGAAGGTTTACAGCTGTTTGAGCAAGGCCATCGCACTGCGCACAAGCAGGAGTGTCACACCATGGAGGCAGTGAGGCTGGTGGAGTTCAACCTGAAGCAAGTGCTCACAAAGCTCATGACTCACATCTTTGGTGATGGTAGGTTTTTACACCTTTTCTCCCAGGCTGCTCATGGCTGTAATAATTTGGGCTTTTGAGAAGCATTTTGCTGCATAACACAGACAGAAAGCTTAGGGGTTGTGTTGACGGTATTAATAAAGAAACAGCCATGTGAGTTTTTCCAAGAGGCCCCACACTCCTCTCTGGGTTTTCCTAAATACTGTTGTGCACAATACTGTCTTGAATCATCAGATTTTTGTGAAAGTGTTTTGGTGTGCAGCATGTCAGGGTAACATAGTGGGTTTGGATACAGGTGGGGACCCAGCTACAAGCACTGGTTTGGCAGAAGCTGTGTGTTAAAGGTGGTGGATCTGTCATTGTGGGTCCTATGAGAAGGGGCAACTCCAGCTCCATTGCAAAGCTGTGCAGGACCCCCTCTGCTTCATCCTCATGGGCCCTCTGTGTCCCTGGAGGGATGGAGCGTGGGTGCAGCATCRCCTCTGGGTGCATGAGAGCTTGGGTGCAGCTGGGCAGCGTTCAGATCCCGCACCAGCGGCACTGGGACAGACAGGAGCAGGGAAGGGTGCGTGTGTCCGTGTGCTGCACACAAAAAGCTGTGAGCAGTTCCCTTGCACAGATAAATTAAACCTCCCAGCTGAGGGAAGACTCTGTTTGCWAAGTCTGCATCAAGCCGAGAAATAATTGTTTTTTGGTACTTACAGTGGAATGAGGAAAGGTAAGGAATGTGTRTATGAATGAAATATTCTCTCCTCAGAAATACCTGCTTTCAGTTTCAAGAACTGAATTTATAAATGGCCTGAGTCAAAATTGCTACATTAATGCTATTTCCTGGCAAGGAAGCTGCTCTTCTAAGCTGATTCATTTTTCTGTTGAGGGAATACTGRATGGGATTAGAATGCATAGGGTATCTTGCCTACTTTCTGAGGTCTTTTAAGATGTTTACTGCACTTAGAGCTGTAGCTCYAAGAGTGGATTGATAATGGTACCAAGTTCTATATATGACTGCTTGAATATTTTTCTGAATTTCTGAAGTTGACTTATAGCAAGCAAAACTTTTACCAGTTTTTGTTCTATTCCACCTGGACAAATATTTTCAAGTTACTCAGCTCAGAGTTTCTTGTAGGTGTATTTACTTAACGGTGGCCTTTTGAAACATACAAAATTAGGGTGAAAGTGAGTAACAGTAAGAAGGATATATTTTAATCAATCTCAGATGCTGAGGATGTTTAAAGTGAGCAAWTTCTAGGAGTTGTTAGTGGTATCTCRGACTGCAATGACATCCTTCTCTAAMTGTTGACAGATGCTGCACTTTAAGCCTCAGCATGTTCTTCTGCGGTCCACACAGTAGCTAGAAAGACATTCAAATAYATTCATAAATTATTTTAAATGTACAAACTAAAAGTAGATGCCACCTTCTTACTGGAGGGATTTTCTATTTCTATACCCCAAATATTTTTCCTGAAATATAAACACAAGATATAGTTATTGAATTAAATTTAATTAGAGATAGCTATGTATATCTAGATGTATTTCCTCCCCCTCCGTTCATGGAAATACTGGAATACAGTATTCAAAGAACAAAATTCATGTTAGGTGCAAGGTATATGAGATCAGTGCACTGCAACTATCTTGAGGTACTGTTATCTTTTAACTTGCGTTTTACTCCTCACTTTACACAATACTCTTGATAACTTTTTGTATCTCTACTCCTGTAAATGTTAACCTAAAATTTAAAATGTGTTTAAAAGTGTTGATCTTGCAAAATTTCTGTGTTTTTCCTTTATGTGGAAATTTTATAAGGCCTGTTAAAAGCAAAAGTTTCCTTCCCTTTATACTTTACTTCAGTTGTATTCTTTACAGCCTGTGCTGTCAGCAGAATATTGTAGTGAAGTTGCACATCTTTTCTAGCACAATAGCATGACTACAGCTGCAGTGAGTGAGCGAAATGTTGCATTGTCATACAGCCAATTGTTTCTCATAAGCAGATTGTGTGGATTGTAGATTAACTCTGCTGTTCACGTTAGTTTTGCATAAACTAGCTTGTGCCTGAAGTCCTGGATTTCATAGCTGTGCTTCTGCAGTGCTTCTCTGGGAATTTACCAGCTCAGGTTGATGCTAGATTGAGAATCTCTGCAGAAAGGTCATATCACTGACCTGCCTTTTTTTTTTTTCTTTTTTTTTTTTTTTT